TAAGAGTTGGGGTTATTTCTATATTGTGGTCCTCAAGCTCTGAGATTCTTTTCTTCTGCTTGGGTAATTGTGCTTTCCATGCTTATCAATTTGTTATTATTTCATTCACAGTATTCTTTATTACTGTTATCTCAGATATCAGCTCCTTCCTAGTTTCTTCTTGTGTCTCCTCAATTCTTTTTTAGTCTCTCCATTTATTGTTTTGATATCTACATTTGCATTTTGAGACCCTTCATTCTGGGGACTTTTCATTGTTTGTATTCCAAAGTCAATTTTCTCAGTGTCTGCTCTCCCAGGCGTCTGGGAGAGACCCATACTCTTCTTTTGGTTTTTCTTCATTTCTGTAGATTTTTCTCCCTTTACCCCTTTCCCTCCCCCTCTTCAATTATGTTTTTGAGGGAAGGTGGGGTTGCTTTTATTTCTCTTCTGCAATGACCTGTTCTTCCTTATGAGGGTCTTCTGGTTTTGTTCACTTTTCCCTCTGCTTTACAGTCTGTCTATTCAGCAGTTTGCAGTCTTGGTCCGTTCAGAGAATCTCATCAGTTCACCTATGCCGTCGCCATCTTGCCCCGTCTCCTCTGGTCTTGCATTCTTATATTGGAGTGCAGAATTTTCAGAGTTAAGGTCCAAGGTGTAGTCATTCAGTGGGTTGCCACAGTATGGATTGTGTGTGAAGGTAGTTGGAAAAGTACAGGCCAAATAACTCTGAGGTTAGCTTGATGGATGGACATTTGAGTTGAATATTTAGGATATTATTGTGAAGGCATGAGTTGGCCACATGCCAAAAACCTGGTCAGTCTGCTGCTGCCAACAAGGAAGAGGGGAATTGAGGAATAGGGTGACTCTCCATGGATGGCAGGGTTTTTTGCAAGAGGATTGAACACATGATTATTTGGTAGAAGTGAGCACAGCCTTGAGAAATGGTTCTTCTTTTTAAGGAGATTACAGTTTGAGAGTGTTGTTGAAACTAGAATCTCCTTTCTCCCTTGTTCTGATGACCTGTCACCACTATTTAGGTTTTTGTGACAATCTACACAGCATCAGGAGTTGGTAGTAATTTTTTCAGTTGGAGCAAGTTCAAGATCATCTCTGTGAGAACACCATTCTCATATTCAGATATGCTTTCTCAGTGAGAGTAATGGAGGTACAGCATGCTTGATGGGTATTGCATTTGCTAATAGATACATGGGCTTATGAACGATATGTCATGTGTCATAGTAGCAAACAAGAAGCAGACTGCTAGTTTGGATTACCTAGTCATGCTTTTTCTAAGTAGCTTTCCTACTTCTCTCTAGATGCTTTTTCTACCTCCAACTTTCCCCTGTCAACCTTCAGATATCACCTGATTTCCTTTCCCAAAACATGTGTCTGAATGTCTCACTTTCTGCTGACAAGTTTTCATTGATTATCTACTGTCTCTCGATCAAAGTCTCCACTTTAGCCCAGCCCTCCGTGCAATGGCCCTACCTTACCTGTGCACATTCATTGCCTTTTGTGCAACATTCCTCTTAGAAATGTTTATTCCCACACATAGGTCACTGTTCATTCTTTATCTGGATTGACCTTTTCCCCAGTCGGCAGGAGAAAAATCCTGCCTAATCCTTCAAGGCCAAATTGATTTTTTTACTCTTTTAAAAGATCCACTGAAGTTGGGATGAATCTCAGCTGAGGTTGAACTAACTCTTTGGTTCTCTGTGCTTCGTGATTCTTTGTTGGTACCTCGAGTTCAGCACATTTAGGCTGCCTTATATTTGGTTTGTTGTTTGCTCATAAGTCTCAGAGGGACAGACATTGAGTCTTAGCCATTTGTATCCTCTTATGGTATCTATAGCGTCATGTTCTAGACATACATGATACAAGATACTCAGTGGAAGTTGAGTTGACATGTTAAACATTTTGGAAATCAAAGGATTTACTCCTGACTTGCTCTGTGATCTGTCTGGTTTGAATTTCTCCATGTAATATGGGAAAATTGATTTCTTCATCCCTTTTTTTGTAAGTGATTTTAATTCATTTATAGTGAGGTGATGGGAGAAAATAAAGCTTTAATAAATTATCTTTGTGTAAATAATTTATAACTTAAACTACTCTGTGGATCTTCTGAAACCTTTAGGCTTTTTTGTTTTGTGTTAGTTTTTTAAATTTGAAAGCCTGAGGTTTGGGAGGGATGTTGCACTATTCCCTAAAGTGGTATAGCAGTAGCTTAAGAGCTAAAAGAAGAACCTGGGATTGTGAGAACCTAGAAGTTTCCTTCCAAGCCAAATCAGTTACCCTTAAGGAACAATCCCCACCTCATGCTATTTTATTAATATAACCCTATACTTTTACTTATTTATATTAATTAAAAAGAGTTGACAGCAAAGGTTATCACAGGATATTTTATATACTGAATTATACACACAATAGGGTTTGGGGAAAGTAGCCCTATAAATGTTACATATCTGTGTCTTTCAGCTTCACCTTAATTTATTACTTTTTTTTGAGTCTAATAAGCACTGATATGCTATTCATATTTTTCTCTGTACAAATTGGTTCTATTTTTCTCTCCACCTAGAATCTCCTCTCTCGTGCCTATTTTTAAATTTAAATTTAGAATATTTTAATGACATACTTGAGCTCTATTAATATTTTCAGGATATTGGCTATTACTTCATTATAATTTCAGCAGAATTGTTTTGTAGATCCTTTTTATTGGAATCATAAGCATGCAGGACTGAAATTCTATATTTTTGCCACTTGCTGGCCATATGATTTTGATCAAGTTCCTCACTTTTTTTATACTTCATTAATAAAATGAACAAAACATCACAACCCAATGCTCACTTTGTAAACCCTAAAATGAAATGTGAATGTAATACAAATCACAATAATAAGTTCTTAGTTAAGCTTAGACATTAGTGTTCTGATAAATATTTTAAAACAAACTCTGGGGGTAGGGAGACCCTGATTGATAGCAGATGCCAAGTTCGGTGGTGTAAATAACCCATCTTGGTTAATTTCTAGCTACCAAAAGGACATCACTGGAGAAGGACAGAGTTGGGAAGTGGTTGACTCTTGAGAGTCTCTGCAAGCTGGCTCTAATACATCACTGACCTTGAAGGGACCCTTCTATTATATGCTTTTTATAGTACATAAAAGTAAACACATTCTACTGAAACTTAAAATAGTAATTGAACAGTTTTCCTGATAGGATTTTTATTTTGTAGATTTATTTTGAGACTGTGAATACAGGATTGCTCATAAAAAAATCAATTCCTTTGTTAATTCAGAGTGGCATCAGGTCTTAGGTAAATTTTGTGGGGTAAGTATAGATTTTGTCTAAAACTCACAAAACTTCTTTCTTTCAGGAAATTGTTTCCATTGATTGTTTTCCAACATACCTAATTAAACTTGGATAATAAAATTATAAAAAGAAAAGAAACATATATAACATATATATTTTGGGCATTAAAACATATATTTTAAACAGATTTTTTGTGGTTGCTTACAGACTGTTAGTAACTGGTATGTGTGGCCAGTTAGCAATGCAGTTATACCAGATGGTTTTAATACCTTGTAATATTGTACCTTTTGGGAGACATCACAACATAGTTGAAAGCATGGGCATCAGAAAGAGTTCCTGGGTTCAAATACTGGCTCTGTATTGACTCACTGTGTATCCTTGGCAAGTTACTGGCTAGCTTTTCTCTGCTTCAGTTTCAAAAAAGAGGCAATAAGAGCAGTAGTAGTATCTTATTTCATGCTCAAAGGTTTTTATGAGAATTAAAACAGGAAAAAGCGTATATAGAAAGGTTTTAAAGGGGTACTCGATACATAGTGTTATTTTAAAATTTTTTAACTTCACACACCTGGCAAATCTTTGTTAAATTTCATCTGCAGAATAAATTATTTCTAGTGTAAATTTTTAAAAGCTGATTCTGGTTATATTTCAAGTAAACATCAACAAACAGGCATTTTGTTGTATTTCTTTGATGTTGAAAGAATCACTGGTGAACTTTTTCATTTTATTTGCTATTTCTTGGCTGTTATAATTCATAATCTTTCTTGCCTCATAAGAGTAGTATTGACCATTATTTGTACAAAAAAGTACATAAATTTTTCTTTTTTTTTTTGAGTTGGAGTCTCACTCTGTCGCCCAGACTGGAGTGCAGTGGCCACTCCTGGCCACCGCAGCCTCAACCTGCTGGGCTCCGGCGATCTTTCCACCTCAGCCTTCAGTGTAGCTGGAATTACAGGCATGTGCTACCACGCCTGGCTGATTTTTTGATTTATTGGAGAGATGAGGTCTCACCAAGTTGCCCAGGTGGGTCTCAAACCCGCGGGCTCAGGCAATCCACTCACCTCAGCCTCCCAAGTCGCGGGATTACAGGCTGAGCCACTGAGCCCAGCTCATAATTTTTTCATAAAAACCAGGAGTTGGGTTGAACAGAAATGTTAAGCTTCTTTTATAGATGAGGAAACTGATCAGCCAGTAATGCCATTTCATAGCATTTCCCTTTTGGGACAAGTTTGTGATAACTCCTTTGGTGTCCCTTCTTTGGATTGCCCGAGTATCCAGCTTACACCTCTGTTAAGCACTTTTCATTCATTATTGTCAAACTGATTGTTGCATCCATCTCTTTTACTGTTCATATCTGTCATCTTTAGCACCCAGTACAGTACCTGTCACTTCGTAAATGCTCGGTATGTGCCATTGAGTGATTAAATAAACACAAAGAACATTTCCTTTGTGCTTATTTTAATGTTTATGTATGCATGCTTTGAAAGAGCTAAAATACTGAAGTATTCTCCTGCTGTTAGACTGTGTAATTTGTTTGGTATAATTTGGCTATGGCCCATGGACTTTCTCTTTTTTCCTTCTCTTTTTTCTCAGGCTGAAAGTTTGGAAGATAAAAATGTGGCTAAAGTTCATCGTTGTCAGCTGGAGAAGTTAAAATCACAGTGTGACAGGTTGACAGAGGAATTAACCCAGAATGAAAATGAGAACAAAAAACTGAAGCTAAAATATCAGTCTTTAAAGGACCAACTAGAAGAAAAGGTAAAAATATTAATGAATTCTAATTTAGGAGATGTGTTTTAATTTCTTCTGCAATACATTTCATATATTAATAAGTGCTAATTGTATCTTTCATGGAGAAGTTGTATTGATGCCAGAAAAAACAAATGACAGCTTGTTAGAATACCATAATTTTTAACTCAGCTAGTCACTTTCTAATATACTTGATTTAAATTTTTTTCCTTGTCTTAAATAGGAATTTGGAGGCCACATAGAAAAGAAAGAAATGCTGATTTATTGAAGACTCACTATATTTCAAGTGTTTATGCTGATTTGTTTATATATGTCTTTTATAATTTAATTCTCACAATTCATTGGGTTAGCATCTTAATCTGTTTGAGCTGCTAACACAATGCTATAGACAGGTTGACTCAAAAACTTAAAAGAGAAACTTATTTTTCGTAGTTCTGGAGGCTGGGAAGTCTAGGATCAAGGTTTTCACAGATTCAGTGTCTGGTGAGGGACTGCTTTCTGATTTACAGATGGCTGCTGAGAGGGAAGGCGTTATTAGAGGTGTGTCCCAAAAGGGAAACACTATCAGATGATATTGCTGATGGATGAGTTTCTTAACATCCTCGTTCTACCTAACTTGCGGTTTTCATGAAAGAATTATGTAGTTTTTATACACGAAATTATTGATAATCTATTTTTTTTTTTTTGACTTGGAGCCTCACTCTGTCACCCAGACTGGAGTGCAGTGGCATGCTCCCGACCACTGCAGCCTCGACCTGCTGGGCTCCAGCGATCCTTCCACCTCAGCCTTCCAAGTAACTGGAACTACAGGCGCGTGCTACCACACCCAGCCAGTTTTTTGATTTATTGTAGAGATGAGGTCTCTGCTCCTGCTTTGCAGGTCCTCACATGGGAAAAGTGGGGAGTGAGCTCTTTGGCGGTTCTTGCAAGGTGCAAGGAAGCGCATTGGAGGCTCCTTTGTAAGGACATTATTCCTATTCATGAGGTTTCACCCTCATGACCTAACCACCTCCAAATACCGTCATCACACTGAGGATCAGGTTTCTACACATGAATTTTGGGAAGACATAGACATTCTGTTTATAACAGTTAGGTTTTATGGATCCCTTTTCATCTGTGAGGAAACTGAGGCTCAAAGTATCTAGTGGTTTAAGTGTTCACTTATGTGGCAGGCACTATAACTTTTAATGCTCATAATGTGAAGGTTAAGAAGGTTGTAACTTTGGTGCATCCCTCAGGCTCACTGCTTTCCTTTGAGTAGGCATGTAAATTTATTTTAAGTGACTACCATATATTGTGTGTTGGGTAGTATATTAGGTATTTTTAGAAGTCGCCTTTTGAGGTTCTCTTGCAGCAAAAACTTCTCTGAGTAGATGACAGAATATTTTAATTTGATTTCTGTTTCTTCCAGTAACTTCCTAAAAGTATTTACAGTGGAGTGTGGTAGAAGTTAAATTTAAAAAGAACATTAAATTACGGACAATACTTTAAGGCAGTGTAGATATGGGCCAAAAGGATGATATACCCGCTTGACCAGGATTACTGAAATCTGTCACTAGGTAGGCTGTCATAAAGCTGTTCGTAAACTTCTGGGAAGGAACTTTCTTGATGTTTTCCTCACCTTTCCTCTGTTTGTTGGTTGTAAAATTTTACATATGTAATATGCAATATATATATATATTGCATATATTCACACACATATATACACATACATAAATATATACTCACAGCATGCACTCACCTCCCCCCAGTAATTGTTAAGACTAAGGAAATAAAAGTTAATTTGAAATTTATGATTAGGTGTGCTTAGATTGCTAAATTTAGGCCTGCAATCTTGACAGCAGCTATTATTTAGTTCTTCTGTCATGCTTTGTTTTGATTGTGTCTAATGTTCACACATATTTAGTGTATCTGTTGGCAGGGTGTAGTTGCTGTGGTGATAATGCTGAATTTTCCAACTTTTTCATAATTAAGTTTTTAGTCATAAAATTGTGTTAACATGTTTTATCTTTCCTTATCTGCACTTAGAAATAGTGGTGAAAGATTTTATATGTTGAAAATGTTAAGCTTACTTTGTACCACTTAAAATAAATGTTCCTTCACTAATTCTCTTTGTGATGTTCCATATATATATGTGTGTGTTATCACACATTCATATAAATGAAGCATTTGCTTTAGATCAGAGTTTGAAGAATGAATGATTTTATTATATTGCTGTGAACTGAGCATCTACTATGGCAAACACTGTGCTGGATCCTGAGGCTAGGATAGAGATGAGATTTGGGTCTGCCACTGATGAACACATTTTGAGATTATTAAAAACGAAATACTTTTTAATTGTTAAATCTGTATAGTCAAGTCCTGATAATGGGTGCTAATGCAGAGAAAAGATGGTCTCTGTAGTCTAAAACGGCATATAACTTTAAAAATTTTTTTAATTTAAAATATGTGGGGTACAATTCAGGGTTAGGTATACAAATGTTCATTATGCAGGTACCCTCGCTGATGAAGTGTGACCCCCCGACAGTTTCCCACTACTGCCAACCCCTTTCTTATAGTATTATGATAGTTGTTCAAGGTCCACTTATGAGTGAGAACATGTGATACTTGGTTCTTTGTTTCTGTGATAGATCACTCAGTATTATAGCCTCTAAGTCCACCCAAATTGCTGTGAAGTTCTTAATTTTGTCCTTCTTATGGCCACATAACATTCCATCATGTATATATACCACATTTTTTTATCTAGTCCTCTTTCGATAGGCAACACGGTCAGTTCCATGTTTTTGCCATCGTGAATAATGCTGCAATAAACATATGTGTTCAGGTATCTTTTCCATAGAGTGATTTGAGTTCCTCTGGGTATATTCCCAGTAGGAGGATTGCAGGGTCGTACGGAAGGACGATTTTTAGATCTTTTAAGAATCCCCACACTGTTTTCCACAGAGGCTGGTCTCTCCAGCTGCATCCTCTCCAACATCTGTTGTTTTTTGAGTTATTGATGATGGCCATCCTGATGAGCTAGGTGGTATCTCAGTGTGGTTTTGATTTGCATTCCTTTGATGACTAGTGAGGCTAAGCATTTTTTCATGTATCTGTTGGCTGCTCCTATGTCTTCTTTTGAGAAGTGTCTATTCCTATGTTTTGCCCACTTTGTAATGGGGCTGTTTGTTTTTTTCTTTTTGGCATGTTTGAGTTCCTTTTGTAGATCCTAGATGTTAGGCCTTTGTCAGACATACAGTTGGCAAATATTTTTTCCCAGGCTGTGGGCTGTCTCCCTGCTTTCTCAATGGTTTCTTTAACTTTGAAGAAGCTTTCAGTTTGATGAGGTTAAAATGGCATATAATTTTAAAGACATACAGGCACACACAAATATATAACATTTATATACTTGCTTTTCTTAAATATTTACTTTTAGTATGCATGGGTTTTATGTATTTTTTTGAGTTGGAATCTTACTCTGCCATCCAGACTGGATTGTAGTGGCACACTCACAGCCACCCCAGTGTCGACCTGCTTGGCTCCAGTGATCCTTCCACCTCAGCCTTCCAAGTAGCCATAACTACAGGGTGTGCTATCACCCCTGGCTAATTTTTGATTTATGTAGAGACGAGGTCTCGCCAAGTTGCCTGGGCTGATCTTGAACCCGCAGGCTCAGGCAATACACTCGCCTCGGGCTCCCAAATTGCTGGGATTACAGGCTGAGCCACTGAGCCCAGCCACTTTTTTTTTTTTTTTTTTTTTTTTTTAGTTGGAGGCTCACTCTGTCGCCCAAACTGGAGTGCAGTGGCCGCTCCCGGCCACCGCAGCCTCGACCTGCTGGGCTCCAGCGATCCTTCCGCCTCAGCCTTCCGAGTAGCCGGAATTACAGGCATGCGCTACCACGCCCAGCTGATTTTTTGATTTATTGTAAAGATGAGGTCTCGCTGCCCAGGCGGGTCTCGAACCCGCGGGCTCAGGCAATCCACTCACCTCAGCCTCCCAAAGGCGCGGGATTACAGGCTGAGCCACCGAGCCCGGCTTTTTTTTTTTTTTTTTTTAATGACAGGGTCTTGCTGTGTTGCCCAGGCTGCAGTGCCATGGTACAATTGTAACTCAATGGAACTACACACTCCTGGGCTCAAGCAATCTCCCTCAGCTTCCCAAGTATATAGGACTACAGGCACATGCCACTATAGCTGGCTAATTAAAAAAAATTGTAAAGAAGGGATTTCACTGTGTTGTTCAGGCTAATCTTAGCTTCTTGGCCTCAAGCAATCCTCCTAGCTCAGTCTCCTAAAATGCTGGTGTTACATTACGTCCCCTGTTGTATACTTTTGATTGACTTAACTGTTTGTGTTGACCCATTCTTTATTGCAGTTAGCTATGAATCAAAATTTGTTGAATTGAGCTATCTACTGATAGGAACTTTCTCTTTGAAAAGTAGCATAGCATTAGTGGATATGAGCAAAATTTTGAATTTGAATCCTTATCTAGCTGTGTGGCTTTAGCCAAATTGCTTAAAACCCAAAGCCTCAGTTTTATCTTTCTTAAAACAGCTGTAATAATACCTTTATTATAGAAATAAACGTGAGAACTTATGTAAAGTGCTTGGCATGATGTCTAGTATCTGATATCAGTTAGTGGTAGGGTAGCTGCCATTATTTTGTTTAATTGTTCAACCCAGCAATCAAACAATTGGCAAGTATTGATTGACTGCATATGGTCTGCCTAATGATATGTTAATAATAAAAATGATTTACCTATGGCTTATCTAGTAATAAAGCCACAGAACCGTGCTGATTGGAAGTTTAGACCAGACAGATGGTACACAAAGGAGGCACCCATGTGACAAGAGTGGGCAGTTTATCAGCAAGTGATATGGAAGGTATATGTGCTAAGCAAACCAAACAAGTGGCAGTTTTATAATTATATTTGCTATTTGAGGAGAGGAGTCACATCTTGGTAGTTTTTCCATCTCTAAGGTCAGACACAGAGCCTGACACATAGTAGGTAATTTAACTTATGGAGAA